CTTTGGAGTACCGAATTTTCTTAAATGTTTCCGCAACATGCTCCCGTTGATTTTGGGCAAGAGGCAGCTCCACCTGGGTATCCTGAAATTCCATAAATTTGGTTGTCTTGTATGCTGACTTCCAGTAAATTCACTCTTGAAGGAAGTGTACATGCACTACATTGATTCAGACGCTCTCATTGACATATACGATCATAGGATAATACCACGAATTTTCTTAATCAAACCAAATAAATATGAAAATATCAAATGTGATTTCTAATATCTTAAGTTCCATGTTAAACTTCAGTGCTTGTGTCATCCACGATAATTGTAAATTAATTTTGTAAAAAAATGAAAATTCCATAATTATTATGAAGACAATGAAACTTGAACATGACAATTTTATAAGCTATATGATGATATCATATGTGATGACTAACATGATATATATGAGGATATTGTACAATGAAAATGAATGTTTTATAGGCTAATATGATATGATTAGGAAGATATTAGATATACATGAGAACTGTTGTTGGCACTACTCTTCTGCGCAGGGTCAAAAGAGAATTACGAGGTGTTCAGTATTTTGTGAGAACAATCACGAAAAATCCATGCACAGAAGACGTTAATGTTATTTACTAAAATTAAAATTATATATTCTATATGTACTTGCCTTGGAAATGCTCACAGCTCCAGTACGTATTTTTCCTGAAGAGAAATCTTTAAGTGGGAATAGTTCCACAGAACGGATTGCGAGCTGTAAGAGGAATATTTGAGAGTGTTGTTAGTTTCCTTTTATATCATTAAATTACGTTTCATGAAGCATATCGTTCAGACAAGGAATTTTTCAATCTTACCGCGATTTCCTTCTTGAAATCCTCTTCAAGGCATTCAGCACTGTCAATTATAAACAGAAGGTCAATATCACATGATGAAGCCTAGATTAGTAAACTTTAATTTTAAAAAACCGCATAAATTCTAGAAAAGATATCGTTTTACCTGCGCAATATCCCTTAACCTAGCAGCTGATCTCTCAGACGGACTTTCTTCAGTTACTCCGTCAATAACTTGCTCTTCATCCTCGAATTCGTCGGTAACGGGCAAAATGGGTTCAACTTCAGTTAGAAAAATATTAAATGTGTACGGTAGAAAAAGGGAAGTCTCGTAACTCCACCTGTTGTGAGGAGGTTACTGTCATC